TTTTGCCCAAAACCTGTAAAATGGATAGAAAATACTATTTTGATACTCAACGGATTCTAAAACTGCCTAAAAGGGCTTGTTTTAGGCAAAAAAATAAAAATATGTTAATTAGTCACGTGMTGCGTCACGTGACCCCAATTTTTGGTATTTCTTGGTCGTTTTTTCACTTTCGTTTAAAAGAAAAAAAATTCAGGGGGTTTGAGTTCGTTTTACTTTTCTGTAATTTTATCAATTAACGCAGATTGTAATAAAAGAACATTGAACTTTTATTGTCTGATGTATTGTCTTTGACCCATTATTGTTGGACACCCTTGAAAACAGAAAACGAGAAAAATAAAACAACATTCTGAAAAATGCCTTTATTATTGAGACACTTGACCAGAAGTGATAAAGTATACCCGGAGACAATAATGAACAAAGATTTCAAGACTCGTGCAGCATCAACATTTTTTATTACACTTTGAACTATGAAGTTTATTAACTCTTGACAATCGCGTCAATTCAAATGTACTTGAGAAATATGATGATTAACCCTATTAACTTTTGAGACAGTACGACTGCAGTTTTGAAAGTAATTTATTGATAGCGTGACTGCAGTGATCAAGACTCTAGTTGAGTCAAAAGCTCGACAAATTGCTTTCCAAACCAAGTCGTATGTGTCCCAAAAGTTTGACAATCAAGAAAATTCATCTGTACTAGTTGAGAAATATCCATGATTAACCGTATAAACGTTTGAGACAGTACGACTGCAGTTTTGACAGTAATTTATTGATAGTGTGACTGCAGTGATCAAGACTCTAGTCGAGTCAAAAGCTCAACAAATGTCTTTCAAAACCAGTTGTACTGTGTCCCAAAAGTTTAACGTTCAATCCTCATTAATTAAATCTTGTTTCTTCGCCACTTTGCGCGTCTAATTTTTACTTCTTGGAGCAAAACAGTACGCCGCACCAACCGTTTGATACCAGTAAATTATGCGCATAAAATATTTCCTTTACTTCAGTTTGAATAAGTGTTTTCAAGCGTAGAATAAAAGAATTACCCGAGGGAATAACACGTGACTAAACTAGACAGCGCCCAAAGAGGTCAAATACATGACGTCATATTTGGGTGAATATGGGGGAGACCCGTGCAATTTTTATTTCTGTAATTTTTAATTCCGCAAGCCCCAAAGAATCTTTCACTTTGAAAATGCATTGTTCCAGTTTTTGCTTGTAATCTTTTCAAAGTACTAGTGTTTTGTGTTTTAGTCACGTCGTTCCCTCGAGTATCGAGTATTTCTTTCACAGAATCAGCATTCTTTGTATTTTAATAAAGCCTCTGCCTTTATTCAATCAGTAATGTTATCCGTTCTTTATATTTGTGTCAATCCCTCGAGTATTACTAATTATTGAACAGTCACAATACCCTGAATATGAGCAGAACAGGAAAATAC